ATGTAGGTAAGAAGGTCAACCACAACCACAGTTGCCAGACAAGATAACTACTTCAATATATGTCAGCCCTTCCCTCTTCCCCATCTTCTCCTTTGAAACAGCATGACTGTGTGGATTCAAAATAAAATTGGAAATCAGAGCTCTAGAAATTAGATTCAAAATGACTCAGTGGATGTCTCTGAGAAATGACTCAGTCTCCTCAGCCATAGAAATACAAAGAGCCACCAATGGAGGAGCAATTATATGATTACTAGAGGCACAGTGCACGAAATTCGTGCACTCGCAGGGGTCCCTCAGCACAGCCTATGCCCTCTTGCAGTCCAGGAGCCCTTGGGGGATGTCCAACTGATGGCTTAGGCCCGCTCCCCGGACATCCTTAGCACTGCCGTGGAGGTGGGAGAGGCTCCTACCACCAATGCTGCGCTCACCAGCTGTGAGCCCGGCTTCTGGCTGAGCAGCACTCCCCCTGTGGGAGCACACTGACCACCAGGGGGCAGCTCTTACATTGAGCATCTGCCCCCTGGTGGTCAGTGCACGTCATAGTGACTGGTCGTTCTGCCATTCAGTCGATTTGCATATTAGCCTTTTATTATATAGGATGTGGGCAAGTGTGTGAGCACAGAGGGTCAGGCTACAGGATAACAAGTATTGAGCAATCCTTCCAACTCCCAGCTCTCATTTCAAACACTCTGCTCTTCACTCTCTTTCCTTCATTAGAACCTAATGGACTATAACACAATAATGTCTGCTAGAGTATGAATGCCACTCAAGAGTATCCACATGGCCTTGGTCGGGAAGCTCAGTTGATTAGAGTGTTGCCCCCATATGCGAAGGTTGTAGGTTTGATCCTAGGTAAGAGCACATATAAGAATCAACCAATAAATGCATAAATAAGTGGAACAATAAATTGATGTTTCTCTCTCTTTCCCCTCCTCTCCCCCCCTCCCCTCCCCTTCTCCTCTCCTCCTCTCCTCTCCTCTCCTCTCCTCTCCTCTCCTCTCCTCTCCTCGTATCCAAGCATTACCCACCCAAAAGCTCAGGCTTGTAGAAAACAGAAGCCAGGAACTTTAGACAACACAAAACTCTGCAGAACCAAAGGAGTTCAAGGAACCTGGCTGCCATCATGGGATGAGGAGCAAAGGAAGAGAATGAAGAGATGGGGAAAATAACATCAAGGAACACACACACACACACACACACACACACACACACACACACACACTTACATTATGCTGACACGTATAAATGCTTTTTTCCTAAAAAGAAACCAAGTTGTTTTCAATTTGAACAATGAAACAAAATGGGATCTGTGGCCATTTTAATTTTTCATGAATTAAACTATACACCAAAACATTCAACACTACTTTAAGATGTTATGCCTAGCACAGAGCCTGGAACATAACAGGTGAGATGGCTAGGTGGTTGAATGAATAGAGTAACTCTTTTCTTCCCTATAAGCTGTATAGCTGCGATGCAGGAAGTTGAGAAACAACTTATGGATGGCCAGCTTCTCCAACGAATCTTTTTTTGAATAGGTGAAGCTATTCTAAGGGCATAAGCACTATAGGAAAAAATACAAATATACTTTACAATGTAGAAGAATAGGGAGGAATTCTTACATTAAGATGTAACAACATAGTAATAACATTTTAGAAATCCAAAGTAGTTAGTTTTTCTTATTCATTTTATTTTCTCTTTTAAATAGCAGAACAAGGGCTGATGTAGGATTAAATATTGCCTCTGTCATATATTACCCATATAGCCTTGGGGAGATATACACAGTTTCTTCACTTTTAAAATAAAGAAATTAGCCCTGGCCAGTGATCTCAGTGGTTAGAGGGTCAGCCTACACACCCAAGGGTTGAGGGTTGATTCCTGGTCAAAGGCACGTACCTGGGTAGAAGGCTCGATCACTGGCCTGATTTGGGCTCATGTGGGAGGCAACCAATCAGTGTGTCTCACATGGATGTTTCTCTCTCCCCCTCCTTCCCTCCCTCCCTCCCTTGCATTCTCTCTGAAAAGCAATGGAAAAAATATCCTGGGGGAGGATTAAAACAAGCAAATAAACAAATAAATAAATAAATAAAATGGAGAAATTAATATCTGCTTTTAATTAGGGTTGCCTTAAAAACAAAATTCTTAAAACATTTCTTGAGTCTGGCCTATCTCAGACTCAAGAAATGTTTGAAACACACACACACACACTCACACACACATACTCACACACACACACTCACTCTTCTATCTTGATCTTGAAGGCCATACATATATTCCACAAAATTCTAAGAAAACAATGAACACTCTCCATCATCATGCTAAAAATAGAGGAGAGAAGTTTTACTGATGTTTAAATCCTATAGTATATTTTTTTTACATTTTTATATGTTGGTCTCTCAAAGCTTTTTATAAACAATAATCTAAGGTGCAGTCCCTTGAAGAACCAAACTATACATTTTTATACTTAGAAATTTCAATGAACTGGTTAAATATCTGAAGTACATATGGAATCCAGATAGAAACTGAAGGTGAATAAATAGCCCAAATCTTTCCCACCAGAAATAACCCAGGCTATGTGAGCAACTTCCCAAACCTATTTAGCATAAAACTTAATTCTCAACATGAAAATAATAGATTAGAAAATTCTTAAACCAATAAAAAATTTGATTTGCATTTTAAAGTGGAATAACACTTTCTTTTTCTTATTTTTAAATTTAAATATAAAGTACTTATAAACTTATGTTCTTCTATCTGTTCATAACAAATTCACCATTCTAAACTATAAAGCGTCATATACAAATGTCTTTACTAAGATGTGCTAACAAAAATTACTATAAAAATAGTCTCATAAACATTTAGTTAATTTTGATGTAAGTTCATTCAGCCCTAAAAATATTCATCTCCTGACTTGCAGGGAAGCCACTGTATCATTTATTAAAATATTTTCTTATTGATTTTTATAGAGGAAGGGATAGGGATAGAGAGATAGAAACATCATCCATCTGCTACCTCCTACACGGCCCCTGCTGGGGATCCAGCCTGCAACCTGAGCATGTGCCCTGATCAGGAATCGAACCAGTGACCTCTAGGTTCATGGGTCAGTGCTCAACCACTGAGCCACAGCGGCTGGGTTAAAATATTTTTAAGTCCTTTCAGCACTGTATGCTTTATCATCTTTCACATCAAATAATGTAATTACATAATTTTATAACTTTCCATGAAAAGTTATTTTCTGTCTAATATCTATTAATTTGGTTTTTTACTTTTAAAAAAGATACATTTAATGTTAAGAACTTATTTAAGTTACAATCATACTTGGCCCTTAAAAAGGCAATTTCCAGTCAAATTAAATCAGTACTTATTATTAATTTGATTTTTATTTTCCTCCGGAAATTTTTCTCTTTTCTTCATGAACCTAATCTGAAGGGACTGTCCAGCCAGAACAAATAGCTGGTCCTCTTACATTCTTCATCATAAATATTTCAGCCTCATCTTCTTCAACTTTAGGATCCTTCACCTATGTGTGTTTAAACACCTAAACTGAGCACATTCATGAAGGCATTAACCCTCCATTCTAGTTTGGTCTCCATTATTTATCAGATGACCTTGATACTTTACTTCTCCCACCCTAAGTTGTCCAAAAAGTGGAGATAGTATCTCATAAGGTCAGGAGAGTAGTAAAATGACAAAAGGGGATGACTAAAAATGCTTGAAATTGTTTATTAAAAACTCACATACAAATGCAATGTCACAAAACTCATCGTAGCAACAACAACAAGAAAATTGCATTGTTTCTTTATGCAATGCAATGATCTTCACATCCAAATCCTTTAAATGCAGCATTGTTATTTAAAGAGGAACATCATTATCTAGAACTAGAGGCCTGGTGGACAAAATTCATGCACCGGGGGGGGGGGGGCCCCCTCATGGAGATCAGGGCTGATCAGGACCTTACTTCCCTGGCTGCTGGCCAGGACCTTCCTTCGTTCCACGCTGCCCCCTGGTGGTCAGCATACATCATAGCAAGAGGGCTAACTCCTGGTCAGTCAAATTACTGAGGGGACAATTTGCATTTTAGCTTTTTATTATATAGGATGTTTCATCACCCCTAACCACTTGCCTGCCTGCCTGATTGTCCCTAACTGCCTCTTCCTGCCTGCCTGATCGTCCCTAAGCATTTGCCTGCCTGCCTGATAGCCCCTAACTGCCTCTGCCTTGGCCCCCACCACAGCAGCTTCATCTGGAAGGACGTCCAGAATGAGGTCCGGAAGGTTGTTCAGCATATCTGGTCTAATAGCATATTACACTTTTATTGTTATAGATTAGAGCTCCAATAACAAAACAGAAATATTAATGACTTAGTATGTGATACTGCATCATCCATCTTCAGAGCTAAATCTAGAATTAGACTAAATGTATTAATTATGGAAAAATTCCTAGTGAAAATCATAAAACACAAATAAAGTAGCCTAAGAAAAGTAAACCTTGATTAATCAAAATTCTTAGAAGAGAGGGGTTCACTTCTGGATCACAGCCCATCATCAGTGACTCCTGATGCCCGTTTTAGAGAATAAATTCTTGCATTTGGCTTACTGCATCTACACTTACTTCCTACTACTTACATCTCAGCAAAGGAATAGTATTCTGGTTTGTTACAGATTTTTCATTTGGTATGATTAACCCAGGAATCTAAAAAATTACAATACCTAGTGATTTATAAAATAGCATAGCATATTCCATATACAGAATTTATAATTCCACTAAGGTTTTCCACCAGGCTTCTTCAAAGACCCCAATATTATGTGGTTCACAGTTTTATAAATTAAACCTGCATTTCACTAACCATCTCTTCTGGTCTCAAACTATTTAACCCATATCTCCTTTAAGACGTCATTGCAGTTTTTTAAACTCTGGCATCCAAGGTCTCTAGTTTTAGGGACCCCTCCCAAGTATTATAAGAGTTTCCTCTTTTACAATAAATTTAAAATTTGAGTGAAACTTACTTTCTTGAATTGCATTAAGAATCTCTGAAAAGTCCACATCACTCTTTGGGCCGTCAGGGAGTATTTGCATATCCAGCTGGTAGCCTCCTTCTAGAGAAACGAAAGATATTCATGGAGTTTGCACTGGTTATCAGAAAGCCCAGCACCACGTCCCAAGGAGAAGCAATGTCAAACTCTAAAATGAACAGCCAGCTGCTTTGCCAGGAATCTTGGATAAATGATTCTTAAAAAATGAGAAACATTACCAGCCATTTGCTCCTCATGGGATCAAAAAGGTTTAATTGTATTTCCAAGGGAAAAATAAGGCAACTACTTTATTAAAATACCACATACTTGCTAGTATTTATTGATGACTTACTGGGTAAAGATTATTTCACAGTAGCCTGCACCCAAGGCTATTTAAAATTAGTTTCAACCTTTACCTGGCTAATAAATGACATTCAACACAAACATTTTATGATACCATTTTCTTTAAAATTATAATAATTCACTGGTCGGGAAAGATTTAATATTCTTGAAATCACAGAATAAAATGTACATGATTTTTCCCCTCACAGTTAGGCTTTCCTGCTATATCATGTATTTTTAAAATTATATCAGAATATTTTTATTTATTGTATCATGTAATTAATCCTCTGGTACTAGTTTTGTCTGATGTATTTTTAGTGTATTCTAAAGAAAGATGATTTTTATGCTGGCCCACATACTTATAAAACATTTAGGGAAGTCAAAGAATCCAAGATATCAAAAAGCCACTTTATCATAAATAATAATAACTCCCTGAATGCTTCTTAAAGTACCAGTAAGAACAACTCCAGTTTGAGGACTCTGGAAGGTATAAAAGCCAGTGCTAAAATAAATAGACGAACAGAAGGTGGCATGCCTTAGCTTCCAATATTTTTGTAGAAATAATTCTTTCATATGCCCAGGAATTATTCTTAGTCTTGAATAAAATTTCAGTTACACCCCGCCAACCCCCTCCCCCCAAATCAAGGGGAATAAGACACAGTCACTGCCTTATGGGGAACACTATTTCTAGGAGGGAAATGGACACAAGTAACTTAACATTATAGAAGGTAAGCTTTAGGAGGGCAGGAACTTTTGTCTGTGTGCTATAACCCAGTACTGAGAACTCTGTGTGGGGGCACAGAGTAGGACCTCAACTAATGTCGAGTGAGCCAATGAATGAGGCTCTGCAGTAATTATGAAACAAAGGCAGTAGAGCTACAAGTAAAACTAAAGGCTCAGATTCTGGAGTCAGGCAGGGCAGCACTCAAATTCTCACTAGGTAACACCAAATCTCAATCAATCTTAGTTTCCTCATCTATAAAACAGGGATGATAGTAACAGTCTCACACAGTAGCCAGGAGGACTAAATGCGATAATGCATGAAAAGCCCTTAGCTATATAACATAGTCAGCACTCAGTAAATGGAAGCCACTACTTTACCATCCATAATCATTTATTAGAGCAGCACAGGCCTCAATATAGAAACTACGTAGCCAGTGAATAATGAGGAAAAAAGCATAAGCCAGTTCTTTGGGGCACCGGCGTGCATTTCAGTGGTGGTCAAGCACTGCAGACACAGCCGTGAACTTGGTAAATGCCTGTGTGCAGCTGGCTCACTGCAGAGTCTGAAGTTACTTATAAGACTTAGCTCAATGGGACAGAACAAAGATGCCTTCCTGCTGGCCCAGATTTAAAAATGGGTTATTTGCTTTCCCTCCCCATGACCAGCTACTTTGAAAGTTCTGATGCTGTTCAACCTCTACGAAAGCCAATCACTGTTGTTCTGTCCAATAACCAAAGGCTTCACAATGAGGACACACACACACACACACACACACACACACGAGAATATTCGGTACTGCTATTGCTCAGGCTCTGTGCTATGTACTTCATTATCTCATTTAGTCTTTATAACCTTGAAAAGGAGGTGTAATAAGAAGCTGTAATTTGCCCAAAGTCACACTGATACTGAGCTGTAAAAATATAATACCAATCCATGCTCTTAACTAGTCTTTAATATCACCTCTATCCAAGCAGTCACAATATAAGCTGTTAGAAACAAGAGAATTGCATTTACCAACAGCCCCACATTCTAGTACTTAAAAAGCCATTATGTAACCTAAAAAGCAAATGACTTCCTAAATAGACTAATAAATGAAGGCTAATTTATTTACTGTCACAGTTAGCAATTCATAAGTTCAAGTAGTAGTTATGACTACTAACTAACTACAATCTATACTAATAAAAGGGTAATATGCTAATTAGACTGGATAGACCAGACATCTACTGGACATCCTTCCGGATGTCCTTCCAGACAAAACTGCAGTGGCTGCAAGGGCCAAGGAGGGTCAGTGGCCGGGAGTGGCAGTAGCAGTGGGGTGATGGGGGTGGCACCTTCCCCTGATTGGCCCGGCTAAATTCTACAAAGTGTTAATTTTTTTTTTTTGCTGGAGACATTTTAAGAGTAGAGGAAGTTATAAAAGAAGTAATCTAAAGGAGGCATTCAGGTCATTAAAGTCTGTCTTTAAAGAATGTTTAATGATATGGAAATAATATATAATGAAAAAGTGAGGAAAGTAGATACAAAGAAACAAGTTATACATATATCTCAAGTATATATTTTTTTTAAAAAGGCCTTTTATGTGACTAGAAAAAAAAGACAGAAAGACACTCCAAGTGGGTACAGAAGTTATCTCTCAGTTGTGAAATTATGAGTACATTTTTGTTTTATTCTTTATCAATCCCAGTCCTAGTCCCTCCAGTACAACCTCTTTTAAGAGTTTGCATTATTACTTCTTTGGACACATCCATGTGTGTATCCCATTGTTTCTTGATCAATTTTATATATTACTTTTTGTTTTCTACTATGATAGAAGACAATATAACTTATGTTACTGCCACTCTCCCTTGCTCTACACCTACCCATCAAATCACTATTCTTAGTTACTATATTATAATGCCTCAGTTATTAAATTTAAATTTCTTGTTCAATCAAATATAGACAGTTCTATATTTTCAAATTAACACAGTGTTATAAAAAACAGATTTTGACACTACACTGAACTGAATTTGAATTCCATTTTTATGTGACCCTGGGCCATTAAATAAAGAGTCTCATTGTTCTCATTTATAAAACGAAGAGGTTAAAACTTGGGGGGGGGGGACTCTATTAAAAATTATTAAAAATAATTTGGCTCATACTGTTAAATCATCATGGCCCACTAAAATTTTATGTGAGCCCTAGCCATCCTGGCTGAGTGATTAGAGCATTGGCCCATGGACTGAAGGGTTGCATGTTCAATTCCAGGTCAAGGGCACATACTTTGGTTGTAGGCTTGATCCCCAGCCCTTGTCAGGGTACATGTGGAAGGCAACCAATTGATGTGTCTCACATCCTCTTTCTCTCCTCCTCCCTTCCACTCTCTCTAAAAATTAAAAATAATAGAAAAATATCCTTGGATGAGGATACAAAAATTTATGTAACATATTCCTCCTTGGCACACTGACAGTCACTTCCAGGTTTAGGGCCTAGATTAAACAACAATAAAAAAATCAGTTAAAAAACAACAACAACAACAACAAAACAACCCTGTAATTTGGATTTGGAAGAGTTATTCCATATTTAAGCAGAAAGAAAGGAAATTGTGACACAGCAAATCTTACCTTCCCCATGAAACACAAAAGACGGGGACTCAGTATAGGCTTAAGGGGACAAATGATATTTTCTGTGATTCCTGCATAATAAATGATGCTAGATCTGAGCTTCTGTCTCTACATGTTTTTTATCTTCTGAAATCAAAATTGGTAGTTCCTGTCCTAAGAGGCATATTTAACACCAACCCTCAAATGCAGCATATTTCACAGACTAGGAAGCAGTGATATTTCAAAACGTAATATAAATATCTAAAATAAATCCTCAAACATAATATTTTTGAGCTTAATAGGCTGCAAAGACACCATTTTTGAGATGGAGAGTCTGCTTTCAATTCCCCATAAGCGAACTCGATGACAGGGCTAAGGCAGAGGATGGTTTTAAGAAGGGAGGGGAGGTACAGACAGTCCCTGCATCAGCCAGTGTCCAAGATAAATCTTTTAAGAGGGAAGAACGAAAATGAATTCAGTTCTTCCAGAGGATCTGAAATTGAAAACCCTAGATTTACTTGTGGGACATTCCACTGGTTCTGGAAAAATGTTCCATCTCTGTTTCTCAACTTTCCAAAATCTACTTAGTGAGCCATGAGCTAAAAGGCCTTGCAAAAGAGCATGCTGCCTAAGTGCTACTGTAAAAGACACACTCTTTTTATATTAGTGTTGGGTAACTATAAATTGAGCGATATGACAGATCTTTTTTTTCCTTTTATAGCATAAAACTCAGTTTTATATGAGTAGTGAAAATAAAACAAAAACATATCGGTTCACCCACATTAGTCACTACAAAAGGTACAGATATGTATTCAGATGATTAACACTGAGTAGTTTTAAGGACCCGATTCAGGACTGGGTCCTAACTGGAGAAGCACATTTGGCTAATAGTGGTCAGATGCTTCCCAGCTTGAAAATGGAAATAATAATCCCACTCCTTCTGCCAGTGCCGGTAATGGCTGGGCTTCTACAAAATTGCTTCCATTGTGCCCCTGGATTGGCAAGATAGTCACCTCCTAAAGATAATGCATCCCTGCACTAGGAGATTCAAAGGGGGCTTGGGAATCTGAGCTTCAATGCTCCAAATGGCAGGATGGATCGGATCGGTGTGTCCTGTGGGCAGAGCTCGGTGGGGGTCTTCCAATCTCTGGGATGCTGAGGTCTGTTGTTAGGATGACAGGGACTCACGGAGGGAGGGAAGAGAGTAACTAAGGATTAGGAGGGGTTACAGAATAGAAACCATGAAACTTTCAGCATCACTATCATGCTATTTACTCTCTTAACTTGCATGATAAGTCCAGGCTTCCGGAAGGTTTGGCTGGATAAATGAGTGAGTATGTCCTTACAGAACAACAAGCCTCATGACAGCTTGTACATAAGCCTCTTGCTTTTCAGTTAGGGAGTTAAGTAACAGAAGTTACCACTAACTGATGGCCTTG